TGCTAGCTTAATGTTAACTGATCAGCACCCCCACTTTCAACATTAATTTCTTGCGAAAGGGTTGGAGCAATAAATTCCGGACTAGGGCAATAAATTAGCACTATATTAGCACTAAATTTTTCCATAAGTCCAACTTCGATTTTTAGTGGTGGGGGTTCTAGGTTAATTGTACAAGGTGAGTCGCGTGGGCATGCGAATGCCGGAGTTCACGCCGGCTGACCCTGAACTGTGGTTCAGTATCGTCGACCGTAGTTTCCAAGCCGCCGGGATAACGGTCGACGCGACAAAGTTCGGGTACGCGTTGACATCCATCGGCCCGCGGTACACGACCGAGGTACGCGACATTATAATGAATCCGCCCGCGGAACGGGCGTACGAAACGCTGAAGGCAGAGCTGGTCAAGCGGCTTAGCTTGTCGCAGGAGCACAAGACCCGTAGACTCCTCGAGCACGAGGAAATAGGCGATCGAAAACCGTCGCAATTTTTGAGGCATATTCGCGGCCTCGCTGGGAACGTCGTCGGCGACCAGGTGTTGCGAACGATTTGGCTGAGTCGTTTGCCGGCGTACATCCAGCCGCATTTAGTGACGTGCACAGCAGATACGCCCGAACAATTAGCGGATATCGCGGATGCAATAGTCGAGGCGACTCGGGCGCCAGCGTTTCAGGTGGCAGAGACGACCAGATATCCCGGGCCTCAGGGCCAGAGCACGAATGACTCTGCTTCGATTGAAGCAAAGATAGAAATACGGTTAGCACAGATGCAATTGGCGATGCAGCAGGAGATATCGGAGCAGTTGACGGCCATTCGCAGATCAATCGAAGCGATTAGCGGCGATTTTCGCGATGACGATCGGCGCCGTTTGCGTTCGCGTTCGCGTTCGCGTTCGCGTCCGCGTTCGCGCCAGAGTGCGCGATCGGGAAGCCGTGATCCTCCAGCAAGCGGTATATGCTGGTATCACTGGAAATTCGGATCAAATGCCCGGCACTGTAGGGCACCTTGCTCGATGCAACAGCAGGAAAATGCGGTGGCCGGTCGCTAGTGGCGGCGAGCGACTCGGGCCATAGTGCACGTCGCCTTTTCGTTACCGACAAGGAAACGAAGGTCAGCTTTCTGGTTGACACGGGGGCTGACCTTTGTGTTTATCCACGGAAAATGATGCGCGGCCCGTTACAGAAGTCCACGTACGAACTTTCAGCCGCGAACGGTACAATTATTCACACGTATGGCACAAGGTCTATGACATTGAATTTCGGATTGCGGCGTGTTTTTGTGTGGCGTTTCGTTATCGCGGACGTATCAAGACTATCAAGACCGATCGTCGGGGCGGATTTTTTAGCATATTACGGATTATTGGTCGATTTGCGAAATTCTCGGCTGGTAGACGGAGTGACAAGTCTGACCGCGAAAGGACGCTGTATACGGTGCGATGCACCATGCATTAAGACGGTGACGGGCGCAACGGGCGTATCACGAGTTGCTGACGAAGTATCCTGACGTAACGAGACCGGAGGGACGACCGGGCGAAATAAAACACGATACGCGTCATTTCATCAAAACGACGCCGGGGCCGCCGCCGCGGTGGCATGCAAGCCGCGAAGACTTGCGCCAGAGCGTTTGGCGGCCGCAAAGAAGGAGTTCCAGAAGATGGTGGAGCTCGGCATCGTGCGACCTTCTAAGAGCTGTTGGGCAGCACCGTTGCATTTGGTGCCGAAAAAGGGCGAGGAATGGAGGCCCTGCGGTGATTATCGGGCGCTCAACGCGCGGACGATCCCGGATTGCTATCCGGTGCGGCATATTCAAGATTTCGCACAGACCCTGCAGGGAAAAAAGATCTTCTCGACCGTGGATCTCGTCAGGGCATATCACCAGATTCCGGTCGCCGACGAGGATATCCAGAAAACGGCAATTACCACACCGTTTGGAATGTACGAATTCCCGTGTGTTGAATAATGCATTGGTTTGGAAGACTTGTTGTCAAATCACCCTTCTGGTCAAATTACCCGGTCTTGTAAGGAGCATGCGTGATTGTGCGAATGCGTGTGATTGGGTGGAATGTTCTGGAAGGCGAGTGAACTGTAACGGATGAATTCTTCGTCCTACCGGAGATCAGTCGTTAAGCTACTCTTGTACTGAGCTGTCGTGTGCCGATCAAGTGTCGATCTCCGCGAATACTTACAGTTCCGTATATAGTTCTTTGTTCGCTCTATTTCTTTGTTCGTTCATTTACTTTGTTCATTAAAGTGCATAATAACGTGTTTTATATCCCAAACCGATTTAATATTTTTCTCCTATCAATCCCAAAAAGGTTATCCCAACAGGTTATGGGCCCAGATAACGCGTTTAGTTGAACTATATTAACTTTCGGTTTGGAAGTCGGTCGTGAGGGCGATCGAGTGTGACGGACAAAGAGCCACAAGGTTGCCACGTGGTAGGTCAGTCAAGACTATTCACGTGTTTAACATGGCCGAGGAAATATCGGCCAGGAACATTGTGAGGTTCGACGGAAAGAATTTCCTTCACTGGAAATTTCTCTGTTCATCATCTTTATTACACTTTAGCATACAGCCAGAAAGTGGGACTTGGTTTACAAAAAAAAGTCTTATCCATTCATACCATCCAAACTTAACACGCACCCAATTCTATTTCCTACTCTATTTTACGCTACACACCGTTAATATCGTTAATATCACACAATTATCCCCTATATCCTTAGCTTAGTTTGACTATTTACATTCTCCTTCACATTTATCTTTCTGTTTATCCTCACATTCAACATTACATACATTTTACATTTTCATTCTTGATTCTTTCTTTTTCCTTCCAAACTTTACAAACCACCTTTCCTTTCAACTCATCTAGCGTATCGTTAAACAATCTCTCCATTTTCTCTTTGTCACTATTGCCTAACCCTAAAAACCATTCCTTTGCGATTTCGCAATCCTTGATATACTAGCTCGAAGTTATCCCTACCTTTTCCGCAGAATACGCATTCGCTTTCCCCATTATCCTTATATAACCAATACTTGTTTTCCTCCTCCATATTGCCACATCTTAGTCTAAACAACGCTCTTATTTCCCTTTCATTACCATACTTTTCCATATTACCTAACTCCAAATATTTCGGTCTTTCTATTGTACATAATTCTCTATATCTTGTATTATATTCTGCACCTCTTATTCTACCATCTATCCATTGTTTCTGTATATCCCTATCCCTTAGTAATAGTTCCTTACTCAAATTTCTCTCTTCCCTAGCCATACTATCTACTGCAATTGTACTCCACCCATTCCTGTTATAATACTCCTCTCTTTCTATACCATATAAATCGTTCCATCCTTCTTTTTGCTTTTCTTTCCAACATATCCTAACCTAACCCATCTACCATCCTCCATATTCCTTATTTTTTCCTCGTACCTTCTCGCACCTAATCCCCATCCTATTTTTAATTTATCTAAATCTAACTCCCTGTAAATCAGATACCTTGGCGTACAAAAATCTAGTTTAAACATCCATCTAATATAGTCCATCATTACCTTTTCCAAATTCTTTCTCTCTACCCACCCCCATACTTCTACACCATATGACATAATGCTCTTAACCAAATATACAAATAACATTCCTCTTCTTGCAAAATCGTCTTTACATATTCTTTCACCCAACCCCCATACCTTATTTGCCGCTTTCCTACCCTTTATACCTAATTCCTCTATGTGGTCCTTATAATCCCCTCTTCTATTAAATATAAAACCAAGATATCTAAAAGTTTTAACCTCTTCTAATTCCTTTCCCATCCAATTCCATTTTTTTATTTTCTCCTTCCCTTTTTTGTTAAAAACCATAATTTTCGTTTTGTCCGTATTCAATATAAGTTTCCTATCCTTTAAAAATTTCCTAAAAGTACCTAACATATCTAATAAAGCCGTCCTATTTTTCGCCATTAACACCATATCATCCGCAAAAGCCAATGACCATACTCTTTCGTTGCCTAATTTTATTCCTCCTATATTCCTATTCCTCATATAACTATCTACCTCTGCTACATATACATTAAATAACGCCGGACTCAGAACACATCCCTGTCTTACTCCTTTCCTTGTGATGAATTTTTCCGTGTAGCTATCCTCAATCCTTATAACGTTGTATGTTTCCTCATAAATTCCTCCTATTCTTCTTATTAAACTATGGTCCATTCCTTTATCCTTCATCAGATTCCATAACCTCCCTCTGTCCACTTTGTCAAAAGCTGCCTTTAAATCCACGAACGCTGTATATATTTTCCCATCCTCCTTCCTTTTATCTCTCTGAACCAGGTGGGAGAGGACGAATATATTGTCTACCGTGCCTCTACCCCTCCTAAATCCAGCCTGACTTTCCGGGATCAGGTTCAACCTGTCCGTTTCCATTTCCAACCTACCTCTTAGAACCTCAGCATAAATTTTGTAAGCCGAGCACAACAGGGAGATACCCCTGTAGTTCTCAGTCCTTTCCTGGTCACCTTTCTTGAATAAAGGCACCAGTATGCTAGTTCTCCAGTCCGTTGGAATCGTACCTTCTCTCCAGACCTGTTTAACAATGTCTATTAAACCCTTCCTTATCGTAAAACCTCCATATATCCATGCCTCCATTGGTATACCATCAATACCAGCAGCCTTCCTTTTCTTCATTCTTCTTACTGCATTCATAATTTCCTCCCCTTCAATTTCCTCTTCTTCCTCTTTGTTTCTTCCAGCCCAGCTTCCAGTATTTGTCCTAACTTTTTCCTTTTCCTTTTCCAGAACTCCTTCCTTGCAGCCTTCTATCTTCTCGCCTTCCAATAACTCCATAAAATGTTTTTCCCAATCTTCCTTTTTAATGTTATTCTCAACGTAAACTCTTTTTCCTCTTTTCCTATTTATATATTTCCAGATTTCCATGTTGTTTTTCAAATTCTTCAGTTCCTCTTCTTCCTTTGTTTTCCAACACCTTTGTTTCTCTTCAAAGTAAGTCTTCAGTTTCTTTTTTTCCTCTATATAATCCTTGTGTCTGATCTTCCCTTTCTTCCATCCCTTGAACATTCTTCTTACTTGCCTTTTTCTCTTCGTACAGCTTCTATCCCACCAATCCTTATACCCAATCTTTCTCACCTTCCTTCTTCCTATAGCTTTTTTTACCATGGCCTCGTTTATTATGTTCTTAATTTTATCCCATTTTTCCTCGATTGATAATCCTTGATCCTCTTCCATCCATTGCATAGAGTCCGATTTTACTCTGAATTCCTTGATTGCCTCGATTTACATTCCAACATATCTTCATTCTTTTTACTTCACCAGCCTCTTCTCTTTCCTCTTCTTCCTTTTCCTCTTCCCTCTTCTTTTCTCCTTCCGCTCCAATCTCCATTGACAGGGGCATGTGATCCGAGTCCACCCTATCCTCTACCTTAAAATCTATTACAATATTCAAACCACATTCATTAACAATAACATAATCTATTACTGAGTTACCTCTATTTCCAACATATGTATATTCTCCCTCCTTATCACCTCTCAATACACCATTCAAAACATATCCTCCTATTTTATCCAATAGATCTCTTAGATTCTTACCTCTTTTGTTTGTCGTCTTATCCTTACATCTCCTTCTCATTTCCCAATTTTCATCCTCACTATCACTTTCCTCTCCCATCCTTGCATTGAAGTCTCCTCCAATAATAACATACTCCCCCCTAAATTCCTCCGTTATATTAATTATTCCCTCCTCCACTTCTTGCCAATCATCTATATTATATACTGAACCTATAATCAAATTTTTTTCCCCCTTATCGTTACAAAACCTATGTAAAACCACACCTTTCTCCAGGATTTTAAAATCCCACCTACCCATATTTTCCCATTCTTTTTTTATTCCTATTATAAAACCTCCCTTTGCCCTACCTCTTTTCTTATTTCTTACAGCGTAACTACACACCCATACATGCGATTTTGGGAGTATTCTTTTAATCCTTTTCCATCCTTTTTCCTCTACCCATGTTTCGCATAAACTAATGTAATCCCACCTTATTA